CGTCCCCCAGGTTCTCGATCACCAGCTGCCCGTTGCGGTAGACGGTGATCTTGCGCTTGCAGTGCACCGTGCCCCGTTCCAGCCCCCCGGGCTGGGTCTCCTCGGGTCCCTCCGGGTCTGGGCGGTTGGGTGTGCTGTGCCTGACCCGCAGGATCCTCCCCGGCTTCACCTCCATGAAGCTGTAGCCGTTGCTGGACTCAACGCTGTCCAGCGGCCCCACGGCGTTGGTCGTCTTGCCCATCAGGCAGCACAGGAGCCCATCGGTGATGCTGTTCAGCATTATGCTCCCTGCAACGAAGCAAGGGGTGAGGAGAAGGAAAAGGGAGGTCAGTCACAGCTCCAGCACCCAACAGGGACCTGCTGAGGGTCCTGGTTGTGGCTCAGGTGACCGGGGACATCTCTGTGTCCCCCTGATTTGCTGCCAGCCCCGGGCAAAGCCACGGTGGCCCAAGCAAGGGCAGACTGTGCCTCTGGGGATGCATCAGGGGTCGGATGTGGTGACTCCCAAATGCAGAGCCCTCCTCAGCCACCTCCAAACTGACCTGTTTCAGGTCAGAGACGGACCCAGGACTCCCCATCCAGCTTTGTCTGGGCCACGTCCCTGTCCCTGAGCCGGCAGGACGCACGCTGGCGTGGCTGCAGGCCCGCGCGGTCCCCGGCACGCAGCCGAGGAGGGAGCTGCTCTGGGAAGGATCCCACTGCTTGAAGTGAAAATGCTGTTTCTGGCACCAAATATGGAGCTGAGGAAAGATTCAGCTATGAAAATGCATTATTTACACCAATTCAATATATATACGTGTCTCTAGCCTAAACCCCCGATGCGAATAACGAGCGGTGGAAATTACAGGGGCTGAAGGTTTTAATTAAAGTCTCTCTGCAAACCAAGGCTGAAAGTAAAAGGGCAAGAGAACCTGGGGGAGGAGGGGGGAGAGTGACCCAGCTCCTGCTTGGGGGGGTGGGAAAGCCCCTTCCCACATCCCCACCCGGTACCATGCGGGCTGGGGGGGCTGTAGCACTGTCCTTGCTGTCCCCAAGGCTCATTCCTTGACATTTGCTCTCCCAGATGGGCTCGGGTGGTGCTGGGAGAGAGAGCTGCGGACACGGGGACCACCAGCCCGGCGGAGAGCGAAGC